CAAAACACTCATTACATTGAGTGTTTAGGTGTATAAATTGACACTCTTCTTCTCGAAGAGGGAGGCTCGGCATATGAGAGCTAACCATAGATAAGAGTTCAATTATTTCTCTTTGTAAACACTGTATTTCTTCATCTTTGTATGCCTTATGGGCAAAATCATAGAAATAGTCAGAGATCAATAAAATAACGATGGATGTAGGAGTCGCTTGTTGCATTCGAACCACTATAAAAACCCCTCTTGCCAATCTTTTATTTATGTTTTCTGCAACATACATAATCTCAGCTCTATATTTAAATCTCATAGATCCATCACGTGTGATTCTTAAGTCCGCTTAGCGCTTCTCAGGTGCGAGTCGTTGGCGTCCAAAATCAAGCGTCAACAGATTTCAATTGGTTTGAATTACATTTCCATTGATTTTGGGTTTTAGATTTCGGGTTTTTGGTGGAGTTGATGGTTTTGAACGTGAGATGGGATTGATTGTCTTTTAATGATGCAAATTTGGGTGATTTTTATGGTTCTCAAGGTGGAAAATGATGATGGGGACCTGCATTTTTTGGCCGACATGGGGTTTCAGCCTATTCAAATGACCTTATCGGCCAGAAATTGTAGGTCATTTGGAGAATAAGCGTGTTTTGGCTGAAACCCTAGGATTCTGTGTATAAATTGGCACTTCTCTTCCCGAAAAGGGGGGCTGGGCATATGAGAGCTAGGCATAGATTGGAGCTCAATTATTTCTCTCTGTAAACACTATATTTCTTCATCTTTGTATGTCTTATGGGAAAAATCATAGAAATAGTCAAAGATCAATAAAATAACAGTGGATGTAGGATTTGCTTTAAGCATCCGAACCACTATAAAAACCTATCTTGTCAGTCTATTATTTATGTTTTCTGCAACATATATAATCTCAGCTCCATATTCAAATCTCATGGATCCATCACGTGTAATTTCTAAGACTCTTTTAGCACTTTGCACGTGCAAGTCGTTGATGTCAAATCCAAGCGTCAACAGTTTGGTGGCCCATGCAGATTTCAAACCTACGTTAAAGTTCTTCGATCGCATGGCCAGATTGCTGATCGCACGCTCAGATTGCTAATCTTTAGCTTTAGATCGCTGATCTTTAGCTTCAAATCACGCGTTCAAGATCGTTGAGATCACGCGTTCAGATCTCCCAGATCACGTGGCCAGATCGCTGATCGCACACTCAAATCGCTGATCTTCAGCTTTAGATCGCTGATCTTTAGCTTCAAATTGCGAGTTCAAGATCGTTGAGATAACGCATTCAGATCGCTGATCGTACATTTAGGTCATTCTGATCCTCGGCTTCAAATCGCTAATCTTTAGCTTTAAATCGCATGGCCAGATCGCTGATCGCACGCTCAGATCACTGATCTTCAGCTTTAGATCACTGATCTTTAGTTCAAATCGCACGTTCAAGATCGTTGAGATCACTCATTCAGATCGCCCAGATCATCCAAATCGCATGGCCAGATCGCTGATCGCATGCTCAGGTCGTTCTGATCCTCGGCTTCAGATCGTTAATCTTTAGCTTCAAATTGCACGTTCAAGATCATTGAGATCACTCGTTCAGATCGCCCAGATCGTTGATCGCACGCTCAGGTCGATCTGATCTTCGGCTTCAGATTACTGATCTTTAGCTTCAAATCACGTGTCTAGATCGCTGATTGCACGCTGAGATCGTTGATCTCTTGCTCTCTGATTGAGCTCGTTATGATCTCAGGTCGAGCTCGTTATGCTCTCCGGTCGAGCTTGTTATGCTCTCAGATTGAGCTCCTTATGACCTCAGATCGAGCTCGTTATGCTATTTGATCGAGCTCCTTATGATCTTAGATCGACCTCTTTATGCTCTCTGATCGACCTCTTTATGATCTCAGATCAAGCTCGTTATGATCTCAGGTTGAGCTCGTTATGATCTCAGGTCGAGCTTGTTATGCTCTCTAATCGAGCTCGTTATGATCTCAGATCGAGCTCCTATCAAATCGCGATCAACTTCTAGCTCTCAGATCGCGATCAGCTCCTAGCTCTCAGCACTCGATTGCACCAGGAATAGTTTGAACTCTTCAGTTCAAGAGTACAGCCTATAGTGCAACAGCCATTCAGATTAAAGACCTGAGTTTCTAAAGCGCGATTACGCACTCCAAAAACTGGAGGCTTCTGTTATGCCTAAAAAGTCATGCTTATATCAACTCAATAAATGTCTTTTTATACTAGCTGCGAAGCTTATACCTCCTCAAAGATATTCATACCAACCCTATCTCATTTCAAGAAATGAATGGACGAGAGCCTTCCATGTGTCAAGGTAACTTGCAAAACACTTATTACATTAACCTCAAAGGTGTATAAATTGGCACTTCTCTTCCCGAAAAGGGGGGCTGGGCATATGAGAGCTAGGCATAGATTGGAGCTCAATTATTTCTCTCTGTAAACACTGTATTTCTTCATCTTTGTATGTCTTATGGGCAAAATAATAGAAATAGTCAAAGATCAATAAAATAACAGTGGATGTATGATTTGCTTTAAGCATTTTGAGCATCCAAACCATTATAACAACCTCTCTTGTCAGTCTATTATTTATGATTTCTGCAACATATATAATCTCAGCTCCATATTCAAATCTCACGGATCCATTACGTGTAATTTCTAAGACTCTCTTAGCATTTTGCACGTGCAAGTCGTTGATATCTAAAATCAAGTTTCAACAAATATATATCAATATTGAGAGTTAAATAAAAAAGTTAATTAGCCCAACAAAAAATGTGTTGCCTCAGTTTGATAATAAAGATGATGATTAGGTTATGATGCATGATATACCTGGAATATTGAAGGTTGTCTCAGCAATTCCCTATAGATTTTGCATCTACCTTCAGTTCCATGACAATTTAAACAGAGAAATAGAGCTGCAAAGTACAACGATGACATCTTTTGCTCTATTCTTCTGTCTCTTCTTAATTACCTTCCACGCAATACTACTATAAATAAAATAATTAAGTTTAGTATACGCTAACTAATTTTCAATGCACCATTAATTACTTCGTTAAAGTTTTTGTTAACGTGTTTATGACACACATGGATTAATATTAAAAAATAGCAAACCTTACTACTAATTTTGAAAAGGAAAAAAAAGAGAACTACTGTATATATCCATATTCTTAATTTTACTATTTGATAAAGGCTATTAATATCATGTTAAAATTCATTTTTTAACACTTGCCAGTTTCGCTAAAGCTATCAAATATTCCATGGAATTTCCTTTGTCCATTTTTTGGTTGGGGACCCGCTACTCCAGTTTTATTCTAGTAAAGGTATAAATTTAACCTTACTACCAATCCCTTGATTCCAGTGATTGAGAATCCTCTGGGATAGTAGCCTAGGACTGATTTTTTTTTTTTAAATATCTTTCCTATATTAGTTATGTTTGTACATATTATATTAACCTTCTCTTATATGATGTATCAATATGACTGAAAATTTAATCTTCCTCCATAGTTCAATATGGTATTAGAGTAGAATTCTAGGACATATAGAATTTCGAAGAGAGAAAACAAAAAAGAAGAAGAGAAAGACCAGAAAAGAAAATGGAAGAATGTATTGTCGTGGCAGAGCAATCACAAGAAGAAAACTCAATCATGACAGACCTAGCATCCAAAATGACTCAAATGTTGAATCAGACTCAAACCCATATTCAATCATAGAGTAATGAGTCCGTAGTATAGATTGACGTCAAGTTGAACAACACAAACTACGTGTTATGGTCACACGTTGTTGAGTTGTATATCTAAGGCAAAGACAAGTTGGGATATATAAATGGAGAGATTCCACAAACACAAGAAAAGGATCATAGTTACAAGTGATGGAGGACTAAAGATGCGGTGGTGAAGGGATGGCTAATTAACTTTATGGACCCGAGTCTAATTGGCAACTTCATCATATTTCCAACTACGAAGGCGGTATGGGACAGTATCGTCACAACCTACTTTGATGGCACTGACACCTCACAAATGTTTTTTTTTTTTTCCCATTATTTACCATATGGTTTTTGTGCAAATGATATTAAGAGCATCATTCATGGGTGAAATTAGTGAGGATTTGAGAAAATAGTATAAAAGTATGTTGTGGTGAAGGCTTGAAGCGATGACGTTTTGTGTTTAGTGAAGCGATGTCGTTTTGAGCAAATGGTGAGTTAATTCTGAGCGTTGATTGAATGGAGATCCAATAGCTGAAATGAGTTCCCTTGGTTAACCATATAAAAGCACACTAAAAGGTAGATTTCTGCTACAATGATTATTCTCTCTTTCTTTTATGTTGAGCAAATTGGGTTTGTTAGGTTTTCTTGTGATTTGCTGGTTGTATCTTGTAACTAGTGTTGAGTGACTGGTTTTTAGGTCATTTGGGTGTGATTGTACACATAGATCATTAGGGATTCCAAGGAAAAGGTCTCTAAGGTTAGTTACATGATTATTGAAGATTGGGGAATTGATGTACTGAGTGTGTAAATTTGTATTGGATTCTCGATCAATAATAGTGCAGTGAGCTCACCTATTTCCCGAGCTCAACGTGGACATAGCTTGCTTAAATTTGAGTAAGTGAACCACGTTAAATCTTGGCATTCTTGTGTGTGTGTTTTTGTTGTTTCTTTTATGCAATCTGTTTAGGTGTCGGATGTGGTGTTAGTTATAACAGTAGTATTAGAGCATTGGTAACAAGATTTATGGAAATCGGGGTCTCAAATTAGATTTGAAATTTCTAGGGTTTTCTAGGTTGTCGAAAAATTTTGGGGCTTTCTCAATATTAGGGTTTCTTGATCTAATTAGGAGCCCGTAGTGTGTAATTTTGAGTGAATTAGTGTAGATTTCATAAAAGGGAAGGAATCTAGGGTTTCTTTGATTCTTGAAATTCAAGAACATTCTTGAGTTCTTGAACCTACCATCTCACCATATCAAACCAAACACTTTACCATGACAAACACCACCACCTGAATGGAGATCTCTCAATATGATGGGAAGACTGACTTCAGGAGTTGGAAGAAAAAGATGAAAGTGCTACTCTCTCATAACAAGGTGGCTCTCGTACTGGAAAACGACCTCAAGAAGTGGTCGGAAGAGAAATTAAAGAAGAAGAAGGAAATTGACGAAGAAGCTTACAACTTGATAGTAATGAACTTGTCTGAGAGTGTTCTCAGAAAGGTAGACGAAATCGAAACACCACTTGCGTTATGGGGTAAGCTTAACTCTTTATATGCACTTCAATCTGCACCTAACCTAACTTTTTTAAAGGGTGCTTTATTTTCTTATAAAATAGATAGTTCTAAAAGCATAGAAGAAAATCTATATGAGTTCCTAAAAATGACTCTGATCTTGAAAGGGAAAGATCAAGAATGCTTTACAGTACTTCGGTACTATCCCTAACCTAGATTTAATAATAGCAGGGCTTAAGGCTAGAGAATTAGAACTAAAGGTCCAGAAGAGAAATGGCACAAACCTGTTTATTAAGAGCAGAATCGAGTCTAGTTCAGATAGGGAAAGGGAATCAGACTAATCAGGGGCCTAAAATTAAGAAAAAATGGAAGGGGAATAATAAGAACAAAACAAAGACAATAAAATGTTTCTTTTGTAATAAATCAGGCCACATTAAAAAGAATTGCTTTGAACGGATCAAGCAGAAACAGGGGAACACAAAAAGCAATTTAGACTCAACTAAAAACTTGATAGATGAACCTGAGGTCCTTACAGTGTCAATGTCTGACATTGTTAAGGAGTGGGTGCTAGACTCGGGTTGTTCATTCCATATTCCTAATAAGGTCTAGTTTCAGGAGTTTGAAAACACTGGCTAGACCGACCGATCTGATTGGGAACCAAACCCTTATCAGGTTCAATATATCCTAAACTCGATTATGGCAGTTAGACCAGATTGACCCAAGGTTGAACCAGTAGAACAATGTCGAATCGTTGATCCAACCAATTGGACTAGTTAATCGAACTGGTGACATCAACATGACATAATAAAATTTTAAAATTCTAATAAATTTCTAAAATAGTAATTCCATCCAAATCCAAAATCCAAATAATAATATAACATAAATAAAATAATCAAAAAATTTATTAGAATTTTAAAAATTTTATTATGTCATGCTAACGTCATCTGTCTAACTAGTAGAATTGGCTGACTCGGGAACCGGCCCCTTGATCGGGTCAAGGCCCAGTCGGGGTCTTATAACATTGTGTGTGAGTAAACTAAAAGGATCAAATTCTATTAAAAGAAGTAATTTGCATAAAGTTTTACATATTTATCAAGCACATATTAAATTTGTACATAGCAAGTATCATCGTTAACATCATATTTTTCATTCACAAATCAATAAGGAAAAATATGCATGTAACAACATCTCGTATTTACAAACCCCAAACAAATAATTTCACATCATAATTATATATCACTCTGAGAGTTGATGGTCCACATTATGGGCTTAATTTCGTGGTTTGAATAACAAATTTTCAGAGTTGATAATCCAAATTTGCTATTTTTCTTGTATTTTTATAATACAAACCATATTTCATCAACTATACAATTTATCATATACAATAAAAAATAAATGAATAATCATCATTAATCTAATTGATTGTAATGTGAAAAGATGATCGTGTGTCCATTACTATAATTTTATTATTAATGAGAGAGTATATTTAGGAAGTGATTAATTTAATTAACACAAAATATGGTCATATTTACCAATTTTTTTGTCCAAAGTTGTGTATTTCTCGTTTACCCTAAACCCTAAAATTTTGCTTCGTTTCTAGACACACTTTGGGTCGATCTTTTATCACTGGACTATTTTTTTTGTTTTTTTTTGGTATTTAAGCTTTTACCAAAAAACAAAAGGGGGGGCGTCTCAAGAGGCTACAAACAGCCTACTATTGGACATGCCTAGAAACAGGAAGAGAAACAAACCATTTCATAAAAGGAGGGCAACAACAAAATTTCCCGCAACTGGACATACCCAGAGTCTAGGACTAAAATAAAAACTGTTCAAACATCCTACACAAGGCCTACAAGCACCCAACAATCAAACCCTGGGAAGGGACAAAGAGTGGTCGAGGCCAGCTCACCCCAAAGCATCAAAGGAAAATAGAGTCAAGATGACTCCACTCAGTAGCTAGGTTCCTACTATCAACCGAATCTTCAACTTTCTTTGTCTCACTTCAACTGGACTATTTTCTTGTATCATCATAAACATATAAAACATAGTTGAGATAAACTGAGATACTTTTATTTTTAATTTATCTTTTATTTAAAAACAATATTTTATCACTAAACTTAACTACTAGTTATACTATATTATTTTCGGATCACCACAGGGATGAAAAAAAAAAAAAAAAAGGAAAATGCGTGCATTAATTTTCTTTCCTATTAGGGCAAAGCTATTTTAGTTAATAAACAAAATCTTTAATGAGAAAAGTCTCACTTAGCACCTATTGGAAGAGGATTCATTATTTTTATATATTAAAAGCAGGCTGTTTCTATATGTCCACGCAGTCATATTTGTTTCCTTTTTTGTGAAATTGGATTTGTCTAAATCTTTTTGTGCTTTATTTCCAAAAGCTATTTTAGTTAATAAATATTATTTTGCTTTATTTCCAATGGAAATTACCAAATAATCAGAACGTACAACTAGCGAGATTGTATGAATCACAATATGCCCAATTCCGTGTATGAATGCAATATTCCCAATTCAATGTTTAGACTTCATGCATAAATTTAGTTGATAATAGAGTTCATCCTTCAAACAAATTCCGAAATTATCATCATTTCTTCAGAATAGTGTACACTGTCATTCTTGTTATTTTTATTGGGTTTATTTATTAATTTAAGCTGCCATAGGATTGAAGGTGGGCAATTTTGTTATTTTTAAGTGACTTTTATCTTTCAATGCTAAATTTTTATCAAATTATCACATAAAAACTAGAAACTATCTGTCAATTTTACATGTCAACATAGGGTTAAAAACAATATTAAGAACCCTAACGTCATCTCTTACATACTACGAGACATCCCCCGATATCAGCACATGCAATTTTTTATTTTAAAATGTCCTTTTGCATATTTTCCCTAATTACAAACTAAAATGATAATTATGCCCTTTCTTAAGGAATATGTATTTTTTTTTTTTTAACCAAAATCATAATTTAAATTAATTGTACTTTGGAATTACTTTAATGATGGGAGAAGGATCACATTCTTAGTTTATGAAATAAATAACTGTATGTTTTAAACTTTTAATGTTAATGATCTATTGAAATGGTGTAGGTACCCTTAATTGTTATTTTAAAACTCAATTGCAATTTAAACGGATTTAGGATTTTACAAAGTCATACAGTATACCAATGGGTTAATGTTATTATAAGCGGTAACAATATTGTACAGCTAGTAATTTGTAAACTTCCTATTAAGAAATGTTTTTTATTTTAGAGCAAATTTTATAGATTAGAAATAATTACCTTTTTATTTACATTTACATTTTTATATGTTGTAGCCAGCAAAAGCGGACCAATATGACTGCGTGGACATATACAAACAGCCTGCTTTTAATCATGTGTTATTAAAGAATCATAAGATTCAGGTATAAGAAAAATTTCATCTATCGAGTTTTATGATCTCAGCTTTTTATTAAGTATCAAATATCATCTTAAAATTAAAATTTTATATATTGATAATATTTCAATGCTAACAATCTTTCTTAAAAGTTTGACTTATCACTACAGATCTCTTTTTTTCTCTTAAAAATAATATATATGCAGATGAATCCAAGTTCCTTTCCTGAATTTAAGAGCAATAGCCAAATACCATTATCCACACATTCAATGTTTGGAGGGCAAAGTAAAGGTTGTCCAGCTGGAAAGGTTCCAATCCAAAGAAACAAAGTTGATTACGAGCAGACTGATTTAAGATCGCTCTCTAAATTACATCTCGGACTATTTGGGAAAAATAATATACACCCGCTTACAAGTACAGAACTTGGCGCTCATGTAAGTTGGCCATCACGTTAAATTATTTCAATGTCAAAACAAAACGCAGAGTTATAATTTATTAATGTCGTGTTATTAATTTGATTTTCCTAGTATGCAACGGTTCAAAGTACTAAGTCGAATCCAAATTACTTATACACTGGAGCAAGCACAATAATAGACTTGCAAAATCCAGAGGTAAAAATGTTACAAATTAGCAAGGCTCAAATGTGGCTAGAAGATGGACCACCAGCTGAACGTAACAGTATACAAGTTGGATGGGCAGTAAGATTCTTCCAACTATACATAAGTTTTATCTCTAATTTAACTTCATAAATATAATAATCAAGTTTGATAATATTTTAGGTGCATCCACGTATATATGGTGACAATCAGACACGAGTAACTGCATATTGGACAGTAAGATTAAATTTTTCTTATCGTTAGATTAAATTTTTCTTATCGTTTTTAATAATCTTTGAATTTTTTTTTTTTTTTTTAATTGATGTTGAAATTCCTAATGTTGTATAAATAGGCAGATGCTTCAAAAAATACTGGTTGTTACAATACCATGTGCCCAGGATTTGTACAAGTACATCCTATCTACCATCTTGGTCAACGTTATCCTAAAATATCTATTAGGGATGGAATACAATATATAACTCAGCCTTTTGTATTCAAGGTAACCAATAATTATTTTTGACACTTTAATTCAATATATTTTTTTAAATAATATATAAATAGATTAGTATTGTTTTTGATAAATATAATATAATATTTGTAGGATAAAGCAACAGGTAATTGGTGGTTATCATTTGATAACAATGTAACAATCGGATATTGGCCAAAGGAGATTTTTACTCACTTAGATAAGGGAGCTTCATTTCTTCAATTTGGTGGATGGACGTATAATTCTCCTGATGGTTTGAGTCCACCAATGGGGAGCAGCTTATTTCCAGACAACCATTACAAGAGATCATGCTTCTTTGCACAATTGAAAGTTATGGTTGGAGGTGGTCAATTGATTGATATGCAAGAAGCTGATCTGGATATATTTGTTGATAATACAGCTTGTTATGATGTCAAAACATTTGGTTATCAAGGTGGCGAACTTGGGGAGACGTTTACCTTTGGAGGACCTGGTGGTAATTGTGGAAACTGAGATTAAGTAATTTGAATGATGGTATTATATAAATAAGACAATGTATCATTTTAAAAAAATAATAAAAAAGAATGACTGTTTGATTATTCTTGTAATTTTATTACTGTAACATACTACCTTAACACGTCTCTACAAAGTTTTTTCAACACATAAAATACAAGTAAACAAATAATATTCATGTAAACTCGGTTTCCTCTCTGCATAGAGGACATTCTGTAGCATGTAGCAGATACTCCTGAAGGCAGTCAGTGTGATACGTGCGGCCACAGGACATGGATGACAATAATATTTCAGGTGTAAAATCGACTTGGCAAATTATACACATATGTGCTTCATAGGGTAGTGATGAAGTTGAATCAAATGGGAAGTGAGGAATATTTTCATGCATGGTAGGAGCTACTGGCATCTCTATATCTGCAGAAACGGTTCTTGTCGATCGTTTGCAAAGCAACAATAAGTAGACCGTAAAGGACATCAAAAGAAATAAAACCAGTACAATAACCAACAATATCCTAACCAATTTATATCGATCTACTGCATCATAGGGATCCAATGTTCTGTAGGTAAAAGAGTCTTTATCCTCCATGTTACAATACACTGGCTAATTGTTGTCTTCCTCCCGCTACTTATTTGGTTGAGCGAAATGAAAAGGAAAACGATAAGTTCCCACCCAAGTTTGGCATAATTACATTTTCCTACCAAAAGAATTTAGGAAAAGCAATTTCCATCCATGTTAAGATCCACTGGTGAGATATGTTATCTCACATGATATAGTTATACAGATAGAAATACCTTTACGCCATCCTGTCCTAATCTTGATCTTGATTTTTCCATGCCTAGTGAAGTTCCGCCGTCTCGTAGCTTTAAGCCCCAGATGTTCTGCTATAACTCGATGCGGTTTCCATTGTCGAACCCCGCTTCCGAGGAGACCTAGGTTGACCCTTTCGAAGTTGCAGGAAAGGGAAATTCAAAGTTTACCATGTCATTGTCATTGTTGTTCTTTTAGTTGGTCTCCTCCTTAATATAAGTTGCAATGTGTTAGTTTCTGAAAATTTAGTTTGTTAGCTCTTGTCAAGTAAAGAAGAAGAAGGGAATAGAAAGTCAGGAACTTTCTTGAGCTTAGAACTAATACATCAATTCACTCTACTCAATGTTGTTTTACAATTTGTTTTTATAATGAATAGGAATGTTGAGTTGGCAATGCATGTGGAAACCTCATCTCATCCGTTCAATAAAGGAACAACAAACACAAATCTAATTACTTTTGACCACTGGATTGACTGAAGTACTTTGAGTTGCTTCTATAGACTTTCATTCTTAATCTCTTCAGCTTGCATTTGTCTTCACATTGTGTTATCAAAACTATGTCGTTTCTGACTTCTTAAACTAACAGCACTTAACAGTTCTTCACATTGTGCTTGAATTGAAGGAGGACGCAAAATTTCAAGTAAACTTCAAGCACAATGGAGAGTTCAAGTATTTGATGTAGAAAGATTTGATAATTTTTATCTCTCTCTTATTGCCAAATTATTTGAGTTAGTTCCCTCGTTTATTTCCATTTGCATGATCGATTTTTGTTATATTCAAATATTGAAATTATTATTTGCTTCATCAAATTATTGCACTGAAAAGAATAAATCAATCTCGCTTTTATCTTTTTTTGACATGTGAATCATATCTGTAAAGGGTTTGGACACTATGATCGAGCCATTTACTTATTATATAACATCACCCAACATGACTACATGAGTATAGAAAAAGTAATGCGAAGAAATAATGGGCGCGTTTCGTTTAATATTCCTATCCATATTCCCAATCCTATTTCCAAAATATTTGTTTGTTTAATTATTTAGGAAATACTATTTTATTTTTTTAATTACTTTTAGACCTCTTAAGTTTATTAATTTCATTAAATACCCTCAGAAAAAAGTTTAAAAATTAACAAAAATACCCCACCCACCCGTAGTTGCCAGATTCTGACAACCACCGTCGATGGTAGCCAGAATCTATCACAATGGCCTACAAACAATCGAAAATGGCCGGTAATTCGCCGATCTGGCATTTTCTGGCCAGATCCATAGTGGATTTGGCCGTTAGTGACGGCCAATCTTTGGCCATCATTGAAGGCCAGATCTGGCCTTTTTCGGCCGTTGACGACCATATCTGTCCGTCGATATAACCTTTTTCTGCCAAATCCGTGGTGGATCTGGCCGGAAAAGGCCAAATCAATGCACGTCCGGCCATATCTGACCAATCTGTGTCGTAACGCCAGATTTCGACTAGATTCCGACGGTAGTGGCCAGAATCTAGCACTGTGGGTGAGTGGGTGGGTGGGGGTGTTTTTGTCATTTTATAAAATTTTTATATATTGGGGTATTTAGTTAAATTAGCAAACCTATGGGGTTTTTTTTGTAAATTTTTAAATTTTATCTCGTAATAATCACCCTATCCAACTATCTAATACTATCTCCAAAATCCTATCCAAAATAATAAACCAAACGCACCCAACAATTTCTTATTTTAGATACTGATAAGAATCATCCTACTACACTAAATTATCAAAACTATGAGCCAATCAACCAGAATTGCACCTAGCTAGAATTGTTGCGTGCAATTCCGGCCAACTATTTTTTTTTCGGATTTTTCTTCCTTTTTACAATTTTTCAGTTTTTTGTTTTTGTTTTTGGAAATTATATTTTTATATAATTTTGTAGAATATTGTTTTGTAGTTTCATAAATATATAATTGACATATATTATTATAATTTTTAAAAATAATATATATAATTTTAAATTTTTTTAGGAAAACACATACTTTAAACCTCCATTGGAACTATATTAATTATAGAAATTGAAGATAGCGGTTTAAATGACTAATTTCCAAATTGGCGAAGGTAATTTTATGTGTTTGTAATTTAGGGGTGTAAATAACATTAATCCTATAATATACATTGTGTGAACCGACAAAAATTCTCTTTTGCTATTAAAACTAACCTTTGAATTTAACGATCTATGGGAAAATATTTTTTCAAAGTTTATGGGTGGGAAAATAATTATGGCAAGCTTTGGGTGGGAAAATGTCATTCACTCTCAAAGCCATTTAGGTTTTATTTACAAATCTTAAAAGTTCATCTCTAAACTCTGATACCCTTGGAGACTCTAAGGGCATAAATAAATTTGAAATTAAAAGTATTTTGAAGTTTAAAGCAAATCTTATGGAGGTTAGAAATTATTAAATACCAATTTATATTTATGCTAGTTGTGTTAATTACTTGAACATTTATTTGCAGCCAATAGAAGAATCACAAGATTCAGGTAAACGATTTTAACTGAAATTAATATTCTAAAATTATAATAATGCTTAAAATTATTTACATTTATCAACTTGTATTATCACAATTTTCTTAAGATTTGAGTATTAAATATTTATATAAACGTCATCTTAAAATGTGTCTGTTATACCTACTCGGAACAGATCAACCAGAAAGCAAACACAAAAACCACAAAACAGATTCACACACACAACACCAAGATTTACCGTGGTTCACTTGCTCGGATATGAGTAAGCTACGTCCACGTTGAGCTCGGGAAACCAGCGAGCTCGCTGCACTATATTGATCAAGATTACAGAACACAACTCGACCAAAGAATTAAACCCTTTCCCAGATCTTTACAGAACCCGTAACACCCTAGAGATACAGATCTAACACCCAAGATACACTGCAAACTCTAGTACCCTTAAGTGGCTTGCAAACCAGCCACTCAAACACCCTGTTACAAGATTCATGATCAAGACAATACCCAAACCCTAAAGGAGGCTATTCGTTTTACAAAGAAAAAGAGAAAACACAAAAAAGGGTTCAACTGTTTGAGAAGAGACTGTTGCACTACTTTTATACTGTTGATTATCAGTTGATTTGCCACCGTTGGATACTTAGCCAGCCAACGGACAGGATTAATCTTTACTTGGCTCAAAACGACGTCGTCTCACTTAATGATAAAACGTCACCGTATGAAGCTATCACCCTAACAATCTCCACCTTCATGGATTTATTCGTGACTGTACTGCAGCTTACTCTTTATGGAGTCCTTCATTGCTCTGGTCACTCTGGTTTACTGAATGAATAACAAATTCAAGCAGTGCTTGAACTTGGTATGAGTGACTGTCTTGGTACCCATGTCTGCTGGATTTTCTTCGGTTGAAACCTTTAGAAGTGCTATCTCATCTCTTGAGATCAGATCCCTCACGAAGTGATATCTCACATCTATGTGTTTCGTACGTTCATGGTACACTGGATTCTTGCTCAAATGTATTGCACTCTGACTATCAAAAAAGATAATAGGCCTCTGACTTGTTAACTTGGCTTCATTGAGAATTCCTTTTAGCTAGATAGCTTCTTTGAATATGTCAGCAACAGCCACATATTCAGCCTCAGTAGTGGATAATGCAATTATCGGCTGTAATTGGGATTTCCAGCTGATGCAGTTGCCTCCTAAAGTAAAGTAGTATGCAGTAGTTGATTTCCTGGTGTGTCTGTCACCTGCAAAATCTGCATCTACAAACCCAACCAACTCAAGTGAAGCAGTTCTTTTACAGTAATGCAGTCCAACATTTAAGGTAGCATTTATATATTTCAGAACCCATTTTAAAGCAATCTAGTGATCCATACCAGGGTTAGACATATACCTACTGAGTAAGGAAATTACAAAGGCTAAGTTAGGCCTTGTGCTAATCATGGCATACATAAGAGATCCTATCACATTTGCATATGGGATATGTTCCATCGTAATCATTTCAGGTTCAGTTCTAAGACATTGTGATTTACTTAGTGTGAAGTGACTGGCCACTGGGATTGTAACAGGTTTTGCATCTACCATTCCAAATTTTTCTACTAGTTTGTACAGGTATGAACACTGTGCAATCTCAGCTCACATTTGTGCCTATTTCTGTCAATTTGCATTCCTAGGATCTTCTTAGCATTTCCTAAATCTTTCATTTCG